AATTTCGGGGAAGAAGATTGGCAGTGCCAGGGAACTTGCTGGTCTCTATTACTTTGAGGATGATTTTTCTGTGCGTGGTTTGGTTCAAACAGTTGTTAGCACCTCCTCTTACTCTCGGCTTCAGCGCATTATTTTGCTTCATAATAGACTAGGACATCTAAGTTTCAGTTATATGAAATTTTTGTTTCCATCCTTGTTTAAAAACGATGATTCATTTCAATGTGAAATTTGTCAGTTGGCTAAACATACTCGTGTTTCTTTTCCACCTCAACCTTATCACGCATCTAAACCATTTGCCCTAATTCATAGTGATATTTGGGGACCATCCCGCATTGAGACACTCACATAGAAAAAAATGGTTTGTTACTTTTACTGATGATCATACTCGTGTTTGTTGGGTCTATCTTTTAAGAGAAAAGTCCGAAGTTGCGACTGTATTTCAAAACTTCCACTCCATGATTCACACTCAGTTTAATGAAAGTATTCGTATGTTACGCACCGATAATGGTAGAGAATTTTTTAATACTGGCCTAGGAGATTTTCTCTTAAAACATGGTATTATTCACCAAAGTTCGTGTGTTGATAGTCCACAACAAAACGGTGTCTCAGAAAGAAAGAACCGACATTTGTTAAATGTTTCTCGTTCCCTTATGTTCACAGCCAATATACCAAAGACTTTTTGGGGTGATGCAGTTCTCACTGCTTGTTATTTGATTAACCGTGTTCCCTCGCGTGTGTTGTTTTTAATACTGTCCTAGGAGATTTTTTCTTAAAACATGGTATTATTCACCAAAGTTCGTGTGTTGATAGTCCACAACAAAACGGTGTCTCAGAAAGAAAGAACGGACATTTGTTAAATGTTTCTCGTTCCCTTATGTTCACAGCCAATATACCAAAGACTTTTTGGGGTGATGCAGTTCTCACTGCTTGTTATTTGATTAACCGTGTTCCCTCGCGTGTGTTGAAACATCAAACTCCTATTGACTATTTCCATCAATTTTATCCTAACACACGACCCTCTACTCCTCTTGAATTTCGTGTCTTTGGATGCGTAGCGTTTGTTCATAATCTAGATCCCCATAGGAGCAAATTCAATCCTCGATCTCACAAATGCGTCTTTGTTGGGTATTCCACCACTCAGAAAGGGTACAAGTGTTACTCGATAGAGAGGAGAAAATATTTTGTGTCAAAAGATGTCATGTTCTTTGAAGATCAATTCTTTTTCCAGAAAAATTCTCTTCAGGGGGAGCACAACTATGAAGAAAACTTTTCTGAGGACAATTCAAAAAATCCGGATTTATGGGAATATTTATGGCATATTTCCCCCCATTCAAACAAGCCTCTCGAGATATCCTCTTCGCCAACCTCAGAAATTTTGAACTCCCCACAAAATCTGTCTCCAGCCACACAAAATTTTCCAATCTCAGAAAATCACTCTCCACAAAATCCGCCAGCTGGACCACAAAATCCGCCAGTTGGATCTCAAAAACTTGTGCCTGATTCGAACTCAAATTTTCCAGAGATATTCCGAGAGAATTTCCCTCCAATTCAAAATCCATCTCCACAAATCTGGACCTTAGAAAATCATCCAAAGTCGATTCAAAATCTTTCCCCACAAACCTCTGATCCAAACTATCAGTTTGATACTCCACAAAATCAGGTTTCCGCAGATAACCTAGAACAGAGCCAAGCTTCCCGTCCAGAACAATTGTTTGATCTAAAATATGCACGAAAAAAAGGTTCGAAGGGTAATTACGATCTGCAGGCCCCACACTGCCCAGAATCCAACCCGAAATCAGGTATGAAAGATAAGTTTTCTGATCTCCATCTACCTGTAGCTGTTAGAAGGGGTATTCGGTCTTGCACTAATCATCCAATATCAAGATTTGTAGCCTATAATCATTTGTCTAACTCTGTTCAAGCACTTGTGTCAAATCTGGAAGATCAAGAAATTCCACAAACAGTGCCGGAGGCGTTGAACAAACCGGTTTGGAAGAAGGCTATAATGGATGAGATGGAAGCATTGGAGAATAATGGTACGTGGGAAGTGGTACAAAAACCGAAGGGTAAGGAGCCCGTTGGCTGTAGATGGGTGTTTACCATTAAATACAAGGCTCGGTGGAAAGGTTCAAGGCAAGGCTGGTCGCTAAAGGTTATACACAAACATATGGGGTGGATTATCATGAGACATTTGCTCCAGTAGCTAAGATGAACACTATTCGAGTTCTCCTTTCTCTTGCGGTAAACCTTGAATGGCATTTGCAGCAATTAGATGTTAAGAACGCCTTTCTAAATGACGACTTAGAAGATGAAGTTTATATGGAGTTTCCTCCTGGTTTTGATCGAGAAGGCAGCAATGGTAAAGTTTGCAGGCTTAAGAAGTCCTTATATGGACTTAAGCAGTCACCAAGAGCGTGGTTTGGGAGATTCGCAAAGGCAACACTTCAACAAGGATATTAGCAAGCCCAGGCAGATCACACTTTATTCTATAAACGGAATAATGAGAGAATAACCATTCTCATAGTTTATGTGGCGATATAGTCTTGACAAGGAGCGATACAATGGAAATGGAAAGATTGAAAAAGGAATTGGCAGCAGAATTTGAAATGAAAGATCTAGGAAGTCTTAGGTATTTCTCGGCATGGAAGTTGCAAGGAATAAAACGGGGATCTCAGTGTCACAACGGAAATATGTGTTAGATCTTCTGCGAGACACAGGAATGATTGGCTGCAAACCTGTGGAAACACCAGTCGACTTCAATAAAAAGCTGGACAATAATGGTAACAGCGAGCCGGTTGAGAAAGGAAGATACCAGCGTCTTGTTGGTCAACTTATCTACCCGTCTCATACTCAACCGGATATCGCTTTTGCAGTTAGCCGTGTTAGCCAATTCGTGCATGCTCCAAATAGTGAACACTTTGACGCAGTCCTTAGAATACTTCGGTATCTCAAGGGCACTCCAGGGAGAGGACTTTTCTTCAGATGAAGCATACACCGATGCTGATTGGGCCGAGGCAATAGAGGACAGGAGATCAACCTCTGGTTACTGCACTTTTGTTTGGGGGAACCTAGTAACTTGGAGGAGTAAAAAACAACCAGTTGTGGCTAGAAGTAGCGCTGAAGCCGAGTTGTGATCATTAGCTCACAGTATTTGTGAAGCTTTGTGGCTGAAGAATCTGTTAAAGGAAATTGGTGAACCTCTAGAGTCTCCGTTGAAGATTTACTGTGACAACAAGGCAGCGATCAATATTTTACATAATCCAGTGCATCACGACCGGATGAAACATGTGGATATTGACCGACACTTTATAAAGGAGAAAATAGAAGATGGCACCATCTGCGTGACATATGTTCCTTCTTCAGAACAGACAGCTGACATCCTTACCAAGAGTCTTTCAACATATTTGTTTGAGAAGTATGTAGGCAAGCTGAACATGTACAATTTGTACAGTCCAAGCTTGATGGGGAGTGTAGAAAAATCAGGACTTAGATAGAAAGATCCCTAAATTGTAGGAGTAGACGTGTTGTTTAGATTTTATATTCTTGGCATTACTGGTGTATATAAAAGCCAAACATACATAATGTAATTAATTAAGTTCCAATATCGAAAGTGGTGTTCTGGCGTGTTTTCTTCCTCATATTTGTTTACAGCGTGGATCCAAAAAACTCAGTAATCATCTTCTAATAAGACTAAAACGAAAATTTCAAGAGAATGGAGTTGCACCTATCTAAAAGTGGTTGCAAATGAAAAAGAAGAAAAAAAAAAAAAGAAGAGTCCACTTTGGTTGGTGGTGCAGCTGGCACTTTCTGGTGGTCTACAGGGATCACACTTTAGGTTGGTTGATAGACCAGACCACACTAACGTTTGTTGTAGAACATGATCTTCGATAGGGGCAGAGGTCTCCAAGAATGAGGAAAGGTGGCCGAGGAGCTCAGCATATGGTGGCTACTTTTCATCAAAAGAGGGCGAGGCATTTTAGCATCATGGAGGCACACGGAAACACATGGGAGTGTACAGGCAATGGTTTTGGAACATGAAAGATTGGGATTTTTTTGATTTGATAAATTAATACCAATTGGTCTCTCATGCCAACTAATTTAGGTCCACGATAGAAAAGATAGAAATAAGAAATGAAGTAAAATGACTAGAGATTTGAGAGACCAAGGGATATTGCAGATATGATTATAGAGAGAGAACAACAAATCAAGAGGAGGATATTTGAGATCTCACCATTCATTCGTCAACTGTGTCGGAATTGAAGTTACGAACTTACTTATTTATAGGGTAATTAAATAACTAACTAGGAAACTAGACCAAAATAAAATAAGGAAACTACTAACGTTAAATGACAATAGGAACGAGCCCTAATTCCCGAAGAACTTAAATTCCTAATTTAATTAAAACTACATATTAAAGACAAATTAGTGCTCTGATCTCCATGATTAAGCTTTTGGGAAAATCAGTGAACTAACCTGGTATAAGAGTAGTGTAGTTCCTCGATTGTCGTCACGTGTGGGCATTTGTTTGATTATCCTCCTCTCCATATTATCTCTCTGAAATTGTCCAGGCCTGGGTAGTATTGGAACAAAAAAATTGTTGTTGGAGGATTATCAATAGCTAGCCATACATGCATAACAGTTCTTATGTACATGCCAAAAATCTCAAACATTTTTTTAGATAATAGACCAACTTTCATTGATAAAAATCAGTTGCAAGGGGAAGAATGACAAGAAGTCCTCATAACAGGAATAAAAAAGAGAAAAAATAGAAGACAACACAAAAGTGTGAGAGCAAAAATAAAACTAAAACGTCAAAAATAATTCCCCATTACATTTTTCTAGTTAAGAGCTAAGTGAGAAAGGAATGACCGTTGAATGCTTTATCTCTAGAAGCCCATAACGAAGCAGGAAAAAAATCTGAAACTAAAGTGCCCGTGTTTTCTGGTTCAATTTAACTCTTTTTTGTGTGGCTAATGTGTGACGAATTTCTTCATGTTCAGGATTTACCGGGATCTAGTGGAATCATGCAAGTAAGTGTTCAGATTATGATGAATTCGAAATGATCTTACATGGATTAAGAACAATTTATCAATTGTTTTTTTCCTTTCTTAGACAATGGGCCGCAACAAGAGATTGGAGTATGCTGCATCGTTTGAAAGTTGCTATTTCTTTAGGCTTCTCTATTATGCAGGAACCCAATACCCAATTATGGGAGCAATAAGGTCAGCTTAGTTTACTAAAAGAAGTTAACGAGTACTTTGAAAACATGCACAACCCCAATTTCAGATTCCTCATCAGCATCCATTGCGAAAAAAGAGTTTTAAAAGAATTTAACACGTTCTGGACAATAAATATAGGTCTTGCAAGATGTTCTTACTGTGGATATTAAGCTATATTATACATTTAATTTTTCTTACTTCTGACCCATTTTTCAGGATGTCTTATCCTTATCCATACGAATTGTACAAGAGAGTGGATGAACCTTCTGGAAAGGAAAAGTATGTCGCCTTGTCAACATTTCCTAAAAGGCCAAATCCTGATGAAATCAATGATGCTTTCATAGGAAAACCCAGGTAAAAAATGTTTGAGCATCACATGCCCCATTTTATTGGAAAGATAAGCTCCTTGGATCATACAACTTTCGCTGTTAGTACTAAATTCGGAATGTCAATAGTCATTCTGATTAGTCAACTTGCTTCAGCATAATTTAACATCTAGATAAGACTCTTGTTAAGAAACTTGGAAGACCAATACGTCTTATGTCAAGAGTGTTGGCACCATTCTAACTCAACGATTTCATTTCAATATTATCATTGCAGAAATCAAACGAAGAAAGAGTCTGGAATTTGGTATGAAACACTTATCTTTGCGTTGTTTGTAGTCATTACTGTATATTGATGTTCATCTGTCTCCTTTTTTTCATCCCTTTCCTGCAGGGGATTCTTGAGCAGCATATTTTGAGCAATGAGGAAGATGGTGTATATATATAGTCTTATTCACTAGTAAGTTTTACTTTTAGTTACAAAAGGGTGCTGAAAATATCTATGCTCTTTCTTGTTCATATCAAGTTTCATGTCTATTTTTCCGGCCACTTCGTTCTGAAGATTCTGCTATCACTCATATGACAGCTCATAATATTAGTTTATGAACTTGCACTATGTTCTTACAAGTTACATGTGACGTGATATTGGGAGGGAAAAAAAAAAAACTGTATAGTTACTGCATTCTCTATGGCTTTCAGTTTTATAAAATGAATTAATGAGAACTATTTTGCTGGCAAACACATTTTAATATGGTCAGTACAATTTACACATGAGACACACTTTCAGTGCAAATTTGATTAGAATCAAAATACAACGCCCTAAAAATATTCGGAACCGTCCCCATTGCTTTATTATTTTTGGCTTGAGGTAGTAAATGAAAAAAATATGCCTTACTTATCATACGCCAACCGCTTGAGAAAACCATTCTGTTTGACTGTCACTGACTAACAAAGAAAGGCAAGTGACAAGTTATTAGAAATTTATTACATTTTTTTTTTTTTTTTTTGAAAAAAGAAAGTCATTAGAACTTGGAATTTATTGCCCAAAGCATTTGGAAAAAGTAGAAAGTGATCATGTTGCAGGCTGGCAAGAAAAAAGAAAAGAAGACCCAAAAGCCCAACATTGTGTATGGTGTTTTGTTGTATATCCCACTCCAGGTTGGGAGAAAGGGTATTCAGATTCTTTCCTGATTCAGCATATTTAACTCGGGATAAAAGGTTACAAGTGCATTAGAAAATATGTTCATTTCATTATCTATCTCCTATTTAGATTTTAGCCCCAATGCTTGATATTGGTCCTCTTTCTTTTGTTTTGGAAGTTTCCATATAAAAAGAGATTTCTATGATAAGTCTTGAAAAATAAACTGTTGGTAGGTTTTTGTTTTAAGTCGTTAGTTCCAATTAAAAATTGTATGTTCTGTATATTTTTTTGTTTTAATGTGATTTTAATTAGGTCCAACAGTCAAAAACATATACTATTGATATAGGAGTCCATGTGGAGAAGGACCCGTCAAACAATCAAACATCTATTTAATTTCCTGTCTGCTAACATAAAAAAATAAAAAGAAAAAAACGAAAAGGGAAAAGCAGCCCTCCTTAATTGGATATCCCACTAAGGATACTTATTTCTCAAATAATTAGACTTGAAAGTTGGAAAGCTCAACAAGTGAGGCTTATAAAATAAAAGCTCTTGAAATCTTTTCCTCTTCGTAATAATGCAAATCACTCACAACTCTACAAATATTGGAATACTTACAAAAAAGTTTACACCTAAACTCAAAAAAAGTTTAAATTCAAGTTACAATTTTATTTAAATTCATGTTTTTTTATAAAATTTGAGTTTGAACTCAAGTTTAAACTTAAGTTTGAACTCAAGTTTAAACTTAAGTTTGAACTCAAGTTTAAACTCGAGTTTGAGGCTAAACTTGAGTTCAAGTTTCCCCTTCAACTTGAGTTCATAAACTCAAATTTAAGTTAATGAACAATATTTTTTCTATTCTTAAAAATGTCATAACCTTTTCGTTTTAATTTTGATTGAGATAATTTTTTTTCTATGCATTCACAACGAAAAGACGAATAAAATAGCACCCATATACCCTATTAAAATTTTTCATCACCATTGAGTTTTTATTAAAATACTATATAAATAAAAATTTAAAGTTTTGACCCACCCAAATACAAACTCAAAAAGATTCTTAATTCAAATTATAACTCAAATGTGCACATCCAAACACAAACTCAAATTACAATTTCAACTCAAATTATAACTCAATCTCAACTCAAAATCATCACTCAAATCACCCTAACTCAAAAATTTAAGGGCTTGTTCTTTTGCCGTTTTTGAGTTAGGTGACTTGAGTGTAGATTTTGAGTTGAATTCGAGTTATAATTTGAGTTAAAGTTGTAACTTGAGTTTGTGTTTAGTTGTGTACATTTGAGTTATGGTTTGAGATAATAATCTTTTTGAGTTTGTGTTTGAGTGAGTCAAAACTTGAATTTGTATTTAGATAGTATTTTAATAAAAACTCAATGCTGATGGAAAATTTTAATAGGGTATATGGGTGGGGTTTTATTTGTCTTTTTGTTGTCAACGCATAGAAAAAAAAGCATCTCAATCAAAATTAAAACGAAAAAGTTATAGCATTTTTAAGAATAGAAAAAATATTGTTCATTAATTTGAGTTCGAGTTTCTGAACTCGAGTTGAAGGAGAAACTTGAACTCGAGTTTTAGTCCCAAACTCGAGTTCAAACTTAAAAGAATATGAACTTGAATAAAGTTGTAACTCGAGTTACTTATTTTGAGTTTTTAACTCAAAAAAGGGGCTGCCGAACAAAAAGAACAACCCCTGAGTTCAAGTTCCCCCTTCAACTCAAGTTTTTAAACTCAAACTCAAGTTAATGAATAATATTTTTTCTATTATTACAAACACCATAATTTTTTCATTCTAATTTTGATTAAAATGATTTTTTTCTATGCGTTCACAACGAAGAGACGAATAAAACTATACCTATATATCATATTAAAACTTTCCATCACCATTGAGTTTTTATTAAAATGCTATTAAAATACAAATTTAAATTTTGACTCATCCAAATAAAAACTCAAATAAATTTTTAATTCAAATCATAATTCAAAATATGTACATCCAAAGACAAATTCAAATTAAAAAATCTCAACTCAAATTATATTCAAATACACCTTAATTTAAATTAAAATCTGACACTAAATGAACAAGCCCAGATCATGAGGTCCATTATGTCACAACGCACAACCCAACACTAGAAGCTAGCTTCAAATCAACTTCCCCAAAAATGTGTGGTCAATTGTGTCAGAATATATAATAAGATAAGATAATGATCGGGTCCGTTTAGTTCGCTGATTCGAGTTTTTAATTTGAGTTGAGATGTGATTTTATGTGAGAGCTTTTTACTGTAGCAAAAAAGTTAGATGTGATTGTTTGTGAGAGCTTTTTACTGTAGCAAAATTCAAATTCTAAACTCGAATCAGCGAAATAAACGGGGTCACGTGATCATTTCAAGCAATAAGAGAGAAAAAAAAAAAAAAAAAAAAAAAAAAAAACAAAAACACAAGACTTTATGTGAAAATTTTTTATTGTAATAAAAATTAAATATAACTGTTTTTAAGAACTTTTACGGTAGTAAAACTCAAATTCTTACTAAAACTTTTATATGCAAAATGAAAAAGAAATTTTTGAAGGGGAAAATATTTCATTTCACACGAGAAGCTAAATATCTTACTGAAACTTTTATAATTTTTTTTTTTTCATAAAACTTTTATATGCAAAATGAAAAATTTTCAGATCTCTTGAAACCTGCACATCCATGGAAATAATTAAACATCGCCAGCATAAAAACCCCTAGCCCATTTATTTTTTAAAAACTATTTATATAGTACATAGTCTGAAGTGTTCAATCGGCAAAACAAAATAAAATAAAAGTCAAGTTCCATTAAATATTGATACTTTTCTGAAGGTGATATCAATTCAAAAAGATGTCTTATCGGTTAGGTTTTCTTTCTTCCATATCTTTTTTATTTTTATTTTTATTTTTTTGAAAAGTTAGCTGAAATAACAATAAACATTCCATATCTTATTACAAAATTATCTAATTTACTAAAATTTTATTTTTATTTTTATTGACTTATTTATGAGCTTTATCACTCAGGCAAAATTAAAATACCCTAACTAAAATATTGACACACCTCTCTTTATTCTTCATACCTCTCTTTGAATTAAAATTTCTTATTACAAAATACCTTAAAAAAGACAATTATTGCATGATTAGATTTTATTAGGAAAAATAAACTACTGATTTTATTCTCTCCTCACACTCACTTACCATATCCCTAAATTCCACCTTTCAATGACTTTCAAAAAGTTGTGGGGGAGGTGTGTTAAATTTTCTTTACTATTTTTGTATGAAAATTATTCTTTTGTCTTTTTCTTTCATTTTGTGTTTATGTCCAATGCGGTTTGCGCTTTTTTGCCCAAGGACAGAGCTGTTCAAGGACGAGTAGGAGCAGCCGCTCGCACTGATTTTTTTTCAAAATAAAATTTGATCACTTAAAAAATTAAAATTTTAAGTTTCGCCCCCACTAAATTTTATTTTTTAAAAAATGTTATCTTTACTCATGAGCTATTCTAATATGTATTATGATTTATATATGGGAGCTTTTTATGGTATTTTTTTTTATTTTTATTACATGCATTTTGAGGTTAAAAAATGTATACTTCATATTTTGAAATATATTACATTTATACATTCTAAATTCATAGTGAATACTTACCCATTTACAGTCAAATTTTAGTTTTCACTATGAAAAATACCCAAATATCCTCATATTTTAGAAGTTTACTTTCCTTTAAAAAAAAATTATTAATGGCATTTAGCTGTTTAAGTGGTCAAAATTGACCGTTGATCGAGGAAAGGCAAGAAGTTAACATAAATTAGAAATCTGAAAGCATAAATATGGTCTGCAAATTATAATATTGCATGCTTTTTTTATCATTTTAAGTATAAAAATGAAAAATACCTTTTATAGTAGGGTATTCTTATTGGTCTAGTCAAAATCATATTAAAATAAAAAATATGCATAATAAATAGTTTTTTTTTTTTATATCAATATGACGTTTTGAGACAATACTCTATCAACATTTTTCTTTTTACATTGTCAAATTTTCTATATGTATTTAGTAGTTCTTAAAAACTACAATATTACAATTTCTTTTTGTATAGTTTTTCATTTTCTTTATTTTTTTAAAAATATAATAATATTTCGCTCCGACTAAGATTGAAGGCTAATTCCACCACTATTTTTACTTAGTTTTAACAGATATGAAACAACTTCTACTAGTCAAATGATATATATATATATATATATGTCCTTTATTTTTCTTAAAATAGTAATGTAAAATTTGTTTATGTATGAAAAAAGACTTCACGACTAATGTTTCAACCAAAAAAAAAAAAAAAGAAAGAAAGTGAGGAAAATGACAAGATTAAGCTAATGGTGTAAAATAAACCGGTAGATGTGGAAAGAAAATGAAGTGGTCAAGAATTAATAATTTTATGGAAATAGTTCATGATTTTGGAATAATAGAGGTGTGTAAAACGTAAATTTAATCATTTCAAAATTTTGTGGTGTGCAATTAGAAATGGTGTAGAGAGTAAATAGGGATATGTAAATAGAACCACCTTTTTAGAAATAAAGAAAAGCAGAATTTTCAGAATATCCCTAATGAATTGT